CTCTGGGAGGAGGCTCTGAACGCCCCCGGTTGGTGTCTGTGGGCTCAGGGAGCCGAGAGCGCACGTGGAGGGCAGGGGCGTCACGCGTCCTGCAGCAGCGGGAGCGGGGCAGGGGGCGAGGCGGGGGCACGGAGGGACCGCGCACGGGAAGGCCTGCTCTGCGCTCCACGCGTGGCCAGGGGGCGGGGCGGGGGTCCACGGGCTCAGAGCACACGGCCCGGGACGGAGCTCGGCTCCTGCCCGGAAGCCAGAGCGGGGAGGGCGGCCGGAGGGGTGACCTGAGACGCGCAGGAGGATGCGCTCCTGCGGGCCCTGGGAGCTCTGCACGGGGTGACAGCGGCACCGGGGCGCCTGGGAGCCGGCGCAGGGCAGGGCGGCAGCCCGGGAGGCGGGGAGGGTTGCCGTCCTGGCGGAGCGCCGCCGCAGGCCGGGCTGGGAGGCCCACCTTCCGTTATCCGGGGCCCTTTTGTTTTAGGCGTTCGGCCTCATCAAGGGGGCCCGCGTGGGCCTCCTCATCGACGCGTCCGCCCTGGGCGGGGGCCCCCGGGGAGAAGCCTTCCAGCGCGACCTCACGGTGAGTCGGGGCGCAGGCCCGGAACGCCCCCCTCGCCCCCTGCCCGTGCGGGCGCCCCCGTCCCCTGCGGGCGCCGGGCTTTGTTTCTCGCAAAAGCAGATGATTTGTCTCCCCAAGAGCAGCTCTCACCTCGTTGGCGCACACAGTTCAGGAGCCCCCTCCGAGTATTTCCCCGGCGGGTGAGCTCCTAGCTTCTCCCCAGAGCAGCCCGCTCCTGCCTCTCTCCCCACCCTGGTTCCTGGGAGCCCAGCCCCGCTCAGGCGCCCAGCCTGCCCTGCTCTCTCCGGCCTGCCCGCCTGTAACTGAGGCTGAGCGCTCTACATGGAGTCAGACCTCAGCCCCCCATCGCTCTCGGGCTCTGTGACTGCATTACTAATCCGCCTGCGCCTTGGTTATCTCATCTGTAAAATGGGGGTGACCACAGTGGCCTCACAGGGCTGCCAGAGGAAGACAGGGCTTCATTCAAGCTCCATGCTTGGTATAAAGTCTGGCATAGAAAAGACTTTCCTCTCGGAAATCAATAAAAAATATATATTTTCTTAAAGAAAGACCTCTGAGGTCCCTGTAAAGTAACCTGTGGAGGGAAAGGAGGGGCTTTCTGTGGGGACCTTAGCAGCAAGAGCCAGTTCAAAGACTGCAGAGTCCAACCTGGGCCGGTCACCCAGACCTGTGCTGGTCTCCGTCGGTGACTGGGAGGCCGCCGGTGCAGGCTGGCCTCCAGGGTCCTCAGGGCTGTGTCCAAAGACCTGGTCTAGAGCAGCCAGCACAGGCTGTGTTGGTGGCAGAGGTGAAATTCCCAGCTCGGGGGAGAGGGGGAAGGAGACATTTTACTCTTGGATGTTCACCAACTACAGCTTAAGAACATCGACCAAAAAGGCTGGCGTTGTGCCTGTTGCTCCATCCCCAACTCACATGCTTGGAGGGAAGTTACTGCCCCCAGTCCCCCTTCTCCCTCTCGGGGCCACAGTGAAGGGTTCAACCACAGCGCACATTGAGACCAGTAGCCAAGACACACACACATCCCACCACACTTCTGACCAGGTGGGCCGCAGCCCAAGGCGCTGCTCCGGGAGGAGTGGCCGTCTGCAGGGTGGTGGGGTGAGGGTGTTGCCTGGTGGAAAATGAGGCACTCACAGAGGGACATTCAGGGATTCCAGAAACGGAGAGGACGGGAAGGGAAGGGTTTAGGTGGGTAATGGTACGGGGCAATCAATGGGTCTGTGCTGGCTGTCACTTCCTGAGCCAAATGAATCGTTTTAGCGAATATTCCACCCTGCGGGAGCAGGGAGAGCAGCAGGTCAGCCACAGAAATCTGCTCTGCATCCACCATAAGCCGGCTGCTTATATTAGATAGAAGGACAAGGATTACATGGGGAAGGAGGCAAAGGGTATGCCATGTGGGCAGTTTGCAGGTAGGCAGAGGGCTGGGCCTTCAAAGGGCTGGCGCTCTAGTTTCTGCAGCAAAGTTGTTCATCTTCCCCTGGTGACAGGCAGCTCCAGGTGGGGAGGATGGGCTGCACCTCCAGGTCAGCTCCCAGGTCCTGAGTGCGGCTGCCAGCCAGGGTAGAATGTGCCTTCCTTAATCAGAGCAAAACAATCACGGTTAACAGAGCAGGATTGATATTTCTTACAGTTCTAGCTGGTTCCTCACATTCTATCGCTGCCCCTGTCATTTCCCCACTGCTGTTTCCATCATCTCATGTCTATGAGATTAGTTTTAGATGAAAAATCTCATCCTGCTGGACTGCACTTGCTTCTGCCTTAGCAGTTCGTGGGGAAGGAATACAGCAAAGGCAGGATCTCAAAAGAGGAAGACATTGAATACAGCAGCAGGCTGTCAGACTACAAAAAACAAACAGGAGAAAACTAAAAAGAATTCCTGTGGCCCAGACAGGCTGGGCAGCCAGGAAATTAGGTTGGCTAAGTCCGTTCCCAAAAACCCTTCTCGTTGTTTACCTTGGAGATGGTTTCCCTAATTTGTTGAATGTTGTTTTCTATTAATTGAGAATTGTCAGAAAGATTAAGACAGCACATTCCTTTACATTCCTCACAGTCGTGGTTTTGCTGCAACAGCAAACCTATTGCTGCCGGATCCTCTAGCACTGCCTCCCTGGCCTGGCTCAGCTCTTGATTCAGCCCACGTTCAGCCCTGTAAGTGGCATTCAGGGCTTTACCTGCCTCAAGCCAGCCGGGTCACTTCTGCATTGAGGGAGCTGCCACTCCCAGCATAACAAAGAGGTCAGAGCCATAGTCAGCAGGGCTCCCAGGGGAGATCGTCGGTGCAGTCTGCTGCCACGGCCGTGGGAAGGTCTCTTCTGGTTCGGACCCTGTGATGCTTCTGGGGCCAAGACAGTCAGTCGTCCTACGGAACAAGCCCCCGGTGCTGCAGGCAGGGATATATGAGTAAACAGTCACCCCACATATCAGAAACCAGCGGCTGGCAGCTTGGCATGTCCATTTCTGTAAGGAAGGGTGAAATTATGAGAACCACTCACATTGTAGTTATTAGATATTTAAAGACAAAAACTAGAACACCCAGCAAAAGTGAGACATTCACTACAGGAAATGATTGCAGCAACCTTTAGAGAAAATATTCCGGCATCCTTTTCCCAGACAGTGGGTCCCAATGCATAAAGGTCTGCATCTATGACTTTCTCCCTAAAATGAATAGATTAATTCTATATATTAGCAATGTGTCCAGGCAAAATGTAAAGGTCCGTTCCATATAAGTTCCTCCATTGCCAACTTCAGAGCAGTTGGAGTGGGGAGAAGCACGTCTCAGTGTCTAGTCCATTTCTCCTCCGGTTGGCCCATCGTCCTTGCTCTGCTCATGTCCAACTGCCTACCACATCCCTCAAGGATCTTGGCTCTGAATTCTTTCATGGAAAAGGGGTATAGAGTCTCTTCTGAAACTACTTCATGCTGAGGAGGGGCGGAGGTTTCTTTCAGAGCCAAGAGATCCTTGTTGTCTGTCAGAGGGACGATGAGGCCTGGGCGTGGAAGGAGGTGGCATGGTGTCTAGAGATGGTATTCCCTAAGTACTTGTAGGGCTTGTTACCTGGTAGAGATAAACTGTGTTACAAAATTTAGTACTATTGGGCAAAAATTAGAAGAGCAAGAATTATGGCAAATGGTCTGGTGGAAGGATAAAAACATTTCAATTTTAATAATTCTCCCTAAAATCACCCTCATTTTTATTAAAGAGCCAAATTAATACCAATTTATTTACTTTAGTAAGTCTAGTTGCAATTTGGTCTGATTGTTTGCATGAACACAATAAGAATAACAGTTGATCAGCTAGGATATATATATATATATATATATATATATATATATATATATATTGCTGGAATCTCATGATCAAGCTTCAATTAGCCCCACAGGGCAAAGAACCTAAGCCACCTAGCTGCTATTAGGTTTTCCTGCAATACCTCTGTATTCACGCCCCTGGATGAATTCAAGTTGAAGTCCCCAATGATGTCTTGAGGTTCCTTCCTTGCCATCTCTCAGGAAAGTAAGCTTTGTTCCATACCTGGAAAGACTGCCATGAACCATGTGACCAAGCAAGGTACCAGGCTTATCTCCAAGGGGCTCTTGTTAGCATCATTCCTTAAAGCTTTCTGGTGACAACCAGAGTCCAGTATGTTAGACATGACATTCCAAAGTCTTTCTTAATAAAACCATAACTGGAAACTGGTCTTATTGAATTCATGCAAAGAAATGTTTTGCCATGACTCATTAAGAATTGCCAAATTCCGGAGGGATCCGGTAGGGAGAAAAATATAATTTACCAAATTGCTTTAAAAATGCTTCCTATATCTGGAAAAAAGTTCAAGAATCAGCAATACTTTCAACAAAAGTTACAAAAACTATATAATTATTTTCAGTTCATTCAGTCCCATAGTCAATTATTTGTTTCTTCTGATTTTTCCTGCCAATATTTCTATAAATTCAGATACTCTATAGAGTTCTGATAATTTTTATCCAGTTTGAAGGGGGTGATATGAAAATGTCAGAGTCCTTTCCATGGATCCCTCAGAAGATGTAACATTTTTCCAAACACACTATAATAAAACAGCAACTGTCTCTAAATGACAAGAAGAAATTTAAAATGACACGGATATTGATTGATTATAATGCAAATGACATGGAATCTTGTTCTTTCTGCAAAACACAATATTCCACAATGTTAAAACTAACAATCAGTTATAACTGAAAGCATATCAGAATCTATTTTAATAATATGCATATATAAATAGAATAGAGTTATTTCTTTATTTGACAAAGCTTCCCATGTACCTGAAGTATAAAATTTTCCTTCATAAAGAAAGAAAGGCAATTTCTTGAGGCATTCCAGGGCCTATTTCTTAACATTAAAACCCTGGGAAAGTTGTCAAACTTATTTTACCAAAAGATTATATATCATCATCATTATTATTATGAAGCAGTATTAGATGTTTATTCTTTCAAAGTGACAAAAGGGTATTAAACACAAACATGGGCAAGCAAAACTTTAGTTCCCACAATTAAGATCACTTCTTAAAAGTAATTAAGTATCTGATTAAAATAACAGAATGTATAATTATTTCAATAATTTATAGAACTATTGCTTCCCAGCTGCTCTGAGTTCTAAATATTCTTCTGAGTCCCACTAATGACTATGCCAAGTATGGGGGCAGGTTCCTTCTCGAACCCTGCCCGCTACAGTAACTGTTGGGTCCGAGCCCCTCTGCCAGGGGCTGGGCCTTCTTGGATGCCTGGTCTGAGATGGAGAAGCCATGAGAAGTTGTGGGTGTATAAGAATGGGTTTGGCTCAGTGGATAGAGGTCAGCCTGTGGACTGAAGGGTCCCAGGTTTGATTCCGGTCAAGGGCACATGCCTGGGTTGCAGGCTCAATCCCCAGGAGGGGGCATGCAGGAGGCAGCAGATCAATGATTCTCATCACTGATGTTTCTTTCTTCCCCTCTCCCTTCCTCCCTGAAATCAATAAAAAATATATTTAAATAAAAAGAAAAAAGAATGAGTCTTTATTGTAGAAGCCAGTGGCCATATCGCCATCAGATAAAACAGTTCTTCACAACAGTCCCATACAGGCAGCCACACACCTACATCTTTCCTAGGAAGCAACATCAGCCTCTGCCCACAACTAATATCTGAGCAGCGCACGCTGCCCCTAGACTCACTGCCTATCCGAGGCACCTGAGCTCTTGACTCTCTGGCCCTCCCCTCTCTCAGCCTTTCCTGCACTCCTCTTGCATAATCATCATCATAAGCAGCAGCAGCACACTGGCTGGTCAGAAACGTATTATGCCACTTAGACAAAAGAGGCCAGTTGCCAACAGTGACATCAATCATTTGCGTTATAGAAGGGCACAGTGTACCGTGAGATCGCTGTGGCCTTGCAGCTGTGTAGTCCTTGGATATTCTGATTAAGGTTCCCAGGTTCAGCCCTAGCTGGTTTGGCTCAGTGGATAGAGCATCGGCCTGCAGACTGATCCCAGGTTCAATTCTGGTCAAGGGCACATGCTCAGGTTGCGGGCTCAATCCCCAGTTGGGGGCATGCTGGAGGCAGCCGATCAATAACTCCCTCTCATCATTGATGTTTCTATCTCTCTCCCTCTCCCTTCCTATCTGAAATCAATAAAAAATATATTATATATTAAAAAAGATTCCCATGTCCAGAGTGGCCTTGGCCGTCCAGCATGCTGTCAACAAGGCCTTTCACACTCTGCATTGTCTGGACTACCCACACTGGGCAAATACAGAAAAAACTGTTTCCCTTCTAACAGAATGGAAAAGGAGTAAACAAATTCTGTACTAGCTTACTTTAGGTTCACTTCTTAATTAAACTATTCAGAGTACCTATAATTTCCTTTTAAGATTTCTCCTCACAATCCTTCTATAATTTTCACAAATCTCCTTATTCATTTAGCTTTAGAACAACTTAATTTCCTTTTCCTTTCAAAAATGCATCTTTATACTTCATGCCTTTTATTACTAAAACCATACAATTTTTTTCCAATTAGTTAGAATTTTTAACTCTTAGAAACCTTAAATTTTAGGTGACAAGTAAGTACTTAACATTTCTCAGATTAGCAATGCATTCACATTTTACAGAGATAGAATTCAAATAAAATACATGACATATTCATTAATAGATTCAAACCTATCTTCTATATTCTCTGTAATAAAAATCCAAAAGTAGGCAAACTCAGTATCCTGTTATTTCAAAATACCTAGATATTTAATAATTTTTACTATTTAACGCAGCAAACTCCAAAGTTCTGTTACCAAAGACTTTGGACAACTGTTTGGGCACATATAATCATCACTGAAAGCTTGATCGTAAATCCTTCATTCTAGTTGCATATATTTACTATGTCTTAACAGCTTTGAGATTTTAAGCCAATTATTATTACCCAAGGCGTTTTTTTGACAACAGGGGTAACTCATGGGCTTATTCTGCTTTACAAACGGGGAGTGGCCCCCACTGCTCCTTTGCAGCTGCTGGAGGGCACGTCTGCATCTGGAGAAAGACTTGGGGGTTATTTCCCACATCTTTCTTTCTGAGTTGTCTGTAACAACATGAAGTCTTGCATATAAGAAGAGATCTTTAAACAACAACAACAGAAACAAGCGAGCAAACACCTGTGCAGTAAATCAATGAATATTCTCAAAAGGCTGGCCTGGGACATTGGCCTTAGAATCTTGTCACACTAACCCAGCACAGCAAATGGCGAGAACTCTCCCCAGCTAAGAGTTTCTGGCGGCTGATGCCTTGAAGTTCCTGCAATCCCTGCCATGAGCAGCTGGGGCCCCAGCAAAGTGGGAAGTGCCCCATCCTTAAACAAATTAACCCAAACAACAGGGACACAAGGCAACAGTCAACAGAGACACTCCTACATACAATGTTTACAGGCGTGCCCAACCCACAGGCATGAGCTTCACACCTTGTCCTTGTCTATCGACACAGACCCCACAGAATGCCCGGCGTTTAAAAAACCACTGAAGCAGAGCAATGCCCCTTGTTGCAGAGGGATGTGGCTAAGGGCCATCCGGAGCTGACCAGGCTCACCCAGTGAATGCACGCCTTAAGTCCAGGCGAGAGGCAGGACAGCGCCTCCCATGACACACACAGCACACACAGTACATGCTTCCTCACAAGGAAGCCCAGACAGGAAGCAGCCACTGCTGCTCGTGCCATGCAAACACGCTGATCCGCCTACAAAAACACTCGATTCCTCCCATCTAGGTCTTAGGCGAGACGACGGGGATTGCTGAGGCTGTGGCCGGGACTCAAAACAGGAAAATTCCTGGCAGCGCTGCAAATAAGGGTCCAAGCCTCGGCCCTGGATCCCCCAGTCCAGGCAGCAAGCGGGGTTCCCGGTATTCACCCAGGAGCCCCTCGCTTACCTCCCTTCGTGGTCGCCAGAATATGTAACGGACAATCAATGGGTCCGGGCTGCCTGTCACTAGAGCCATTGAAGCAGAGACAGGACTGAATCCTGTGAGCGTTTATTCCAACACTGCCGGCCGCAGGGAGAGCAGCAGGTCAGCCGTGAAAGTCTGTTCTGCACCCACCATAAGCTGCTGCTTATATTGGGCAGGACACGGATTATAGGGGAAGGCGGCAAAGGGTGTGCCAAATGGGCAGTTTGCGGTAAGCACAGGACTTGCCTTCAAAGGGCTGGCGATTCTGGTGTCTGCAACAAAGTTGTTCATCTTTCCATGCAAATAGGCAGCTAGAAACGATGGGCTGCGCTTCTGGGTGAGCGCCCGGCCCCCAGTGAGAACTGCCAGCCAGGTTAGAATGTGCCTTCCTTAATCAGAGCAGAACTATCACGGTTAACAGAGCAGGGTTGATATTTCTCACAATTCTCGCTGGTTCCCCAACATCCTGTTTCTGCCCTGGCAATAGTACGCTTGAAAGGAGATTCAAGTGGGCGCCAAGGGGGCGCAGGCGGCTCTTTGTCAGGCTTTCCTCTATTTCCTTGGGTTGGGGAAAGAGCAGGAGTTCATGCAAACTACCCCCCCTCCTCCCTGGGTCCTCCGGGCGTGGTGCCATCTCCAGTTCTTTCCCCCGACTTTCCCACAGTGCCCTCCCCCCTTTACAGTTCCCGCGTTGGCTCCTACTGCGCCTGTGCTCAGAAAAATGACCCTTCCCGCCCTCTCCAGTTAATCTGGTGGGCCCACTGATCCCTGGAGTGGCCCTGAAGCTGTCTGTCCTGCCTAGTCAAGTAGGCGGGATCCCTGGGTGACTGTGAAACTGCCGGTCCTACTCGATCCTGCTTAACCAGACGCCTGGCTCCCTCCTTCCATTAGTGACTGACTCCCTCCTCTGACACTCTGTCCACCAGAGCCTCATTGATGAGCAGCTGAGCCACAAGGAGAAGCTGTTCGTCCTGACCTTCGGCACCACCACCAGCGCCCTCTGGCCAGACCCCGTGGACGTCAGCGCCTCCAGGTGAGTGGCTACCTGGCCAGGGTGTTCACTTGGTCATTTTCCTCCTGAGCGTTAGTTTCTTTAGTGCATGATTCAAGCGCAAACCCAAGACCCCATCAGTAAGTAAATACAGAGAGGCAGCTCACAAAAGCAGAAACTCCAGGAGCCCATCACTTTTGGGAAAGAGTCACCCTCACAAGCAGCCACCAAATGAGAAGAGCAGACGACCACGAGACACCACTTCTGTCCAGCAAACTAGGGGGCAGTTTTGTTGCTATTTAGAGAGAGGGCGGGAGGAGCATGGACTGGGAGCCTCCGGCATGTGTCCCACCCGAGGGAACCTGCCACCGAGGCATGTGCCTGACCAGGAGTGGAACCCACAACCCCTTAGTGAAGGGACAGTGCTCCAACCACTGCGCCAGCCCTCCAGGGCCCCCTGCTCGTGTCATAGCGACACAGTGTCCCGCTGCATAGATGCGCTACGACCTCACCAGCCCTGTATTTGGGAGCTCCTCGTTTGGGGGAGCAGTGAGAGGGAAGGTAGGTAAGAGTTTCTATTTACACCACTAAGTAAAAACGTCTTTTCCGTGAAGGAGGTATCTTTGACCCCTGCCATGTGCCAGGCACCCTCATGCGCTGTCTTAGTTAGTATTTGTGGCCAGTTCCCATTTTGCAGGTGAGGAACCTGTGACTCAGGTTAGGGACGTGCCCCAAGCAGCGGCGCCAGAGTCCAGGGAAATGCAGGAGCGCGGGCTCCCGGGACGGGGTCTCCTCCCGGCACTGGTTGCAAAGAGGCCCCTGCGAGCAGAGAAGGGCTCGGCTCCAGCAGGGCTGGCTCTGAACCCGGCTCTGACAGCTCCGGGTGGCCTTGGCCAGCCCTTCACCTCCCTCATGAGCAGAATGAGGCCGAGGGCGCCTGCCCCTCACTGAGTTGTGAGGATGACATGAAAAGCGAGCGCCTGGCCTGTGGCAGGTTCTCAGTGCAGACAGAGTTGTTGCTGTGGTGTCCACCTTAGTTAGACCCCGTCTCCACTGTCCCAACTGGAGGTGAACTGGAGGTCGTCCAGCCAGCAGTTCCTCACCTCCAGTCACGCCTGGACTGCGTGATGTCCATCATGTCCCTGCCACGTGTTCCATCACTTACTCTGCACCCCTGGCTCAGCTGTCCATTTTCCTCCTATCAACCCCATTTCCTGTGGAAGGAGCTCCCATCAGCACCATCGCTGGGATGGCCGGAGTCCTTGCCACAACTAGAAAGTGGACAAAACATAATCTAAGGAAAGCACAGAAAATGGTGATGTTAATCCCAGCGGGAGACCTATTGACCAGGAGGTGCTAGGCCTGGATTTGTTCTTTCTCTGTGTAAAAGGGGGACGCACTCTACCTGGTTTGGCTCAGTGGCTAGAGTGCCGGCCCCAGGACTGAAGGTCTCAGGCTCGATTCCGGTCAAGGCATGTACCTTGGCTGCAGGCTGGATCCCCCACTCAATCTCTCTCTCTCTCTCTCTCTCTCTCTCTCTCTCTCTCTCCCTCCCTCCCTCCCACCTCCCTTCCACTCTCTCTAAAAGTCAATGGGAAAATATCCTCAGACGAGGAAGGATTAACAACAACAAAAAGGGAGAGCCAATAGTTATAATAAGGAAAGACAGGTTTCTAGCAACAAGCTGAGATTTTGGTTTTTTTATATCAGACTGAAAAGAAATGGAAAGAGCAGAACTCTCTCACTAGCACCATGTGAGGTGTTTAACCAAGAAAGCCTGCGCTGTCCTTTTCCCTGTCCCCAGTGGTGTGCGCCCCATCCCCGTGCGGCGGCCTCGCAGCCGCTCCCCCAGAGGCCTCTGAGCGTTCGGGGTTACCGCCACGCTTCGGGCTGCAGGCTGCCTCCCAGAGTTCGCCAGACCCTCTGACAATAGAGTCACTAAGCTCTGGTCCTAGAGTCGAACCTGTTTGATTCTGTGTTGCCAGTTGGTTAGTATCATCCTAACTCTGAGCCTCAGTCTCCTCATCTATGAAATGGGAATAGAGGCATTCCCTCAGAGAGCTATCCTCAGGCTCAGATGAGCGGGCGCTGGTCCTGGTGGAGCTGTGACCAGGTTGCTGGCCTCCCTCGCTGTCTCCTCAGCCTCCAGGAGCTCAGACTCTGGGTAAGGAAGCCGCAGCCGGAAGGAGGCAGCAATCTGCTCCAAGCCCTGAGGAAAGCCTGCGCTCTCAAGGGGCTGACTTCTCTGGTGACCATACTGGGAAGCTGGTAGGTCTCCTTTCCTCAGTGGGTAACAGACTACATGGAGGGGCCACGAACCGGGGTTAGAAGAAAGAGCATCACGCATGACTCCTGACACATGCCTGACGGACGAGCCAGCTCAGGGCTGCCAGAGCGGCCAGGCCTGTGCTGTGCCCGCCCGCTCCTCACACGGGTGACCTGGGACACGGGTGGTTGGCTGGACCCTGCAGATGTTCCCTGGAAATGATCACTTTGCTCTGAAATGTCCTCATGCCGGGCGCCCCCTTATCTTCCTCCGTCTTCTCCCCAGCCCAGACCAGCCTCCTGAAATCCTGTCTGACTACATCCAACAGGCCACCCTGGGCAGGGGCCTCCACACCCACCTTGTCACCTACCAGTGCGAGGACCGGGTGCCCCCCGTAAGTACCCACGGCTTTCCTGGTGAGGGGCAGCCTGGGCGACCTGCGTGGACAGGCCCCGAGCTGTGGGCCAGAACACGTTCTCCCCCGGGTCGGAGGGGACGTGCTGGAGGCTGGAGAGGCTGGGCAGGAGAAAGCTGTCGGAGTATTGGCGGGGCCTGGAGGGTGACCGCGCCATCCCGCAGGCTGTCCTGAAGAACCTCGCGGAAGCTGTTGGGGGCCACTACCACTGCTACACCCCAGAGTCGGAGGTAAGCCACTGCCCGCTGCCCTCACCCTGCCGCTGCCAGGGTGCCTGGGGCCCTGGGCCAGGGCAGGCCAGGCTGCGTACTCGCTTCCCTCTGGCCCCAAGCTCATGGGCTTACACAGGTCTAATCAGGTGCAGATGAATGTGTGGGAAGAACAGGAAGTCACAAGAGATCCTGTGGTTAGATGTGTGATGGGCTCCTTGCACACCGTGAGGCTGCAGGCGTTTGAAAGCCTCGTGGGTAGAGTCCTGAGTCTGACCAGTTGCCGCCATGTGGGCCCCAGCAAAGCTCTGAGTCTGCATCAGGGGCCCCAGTTCTCTCCTCGACAGCCCCCCTCCCCGGCTCCTGCCGGGATCCGCAGCAGTCATTGCTGAATGAGCAGTCAATCCTGTACCAACCCACCATCCCTGTCCTTGCCCCGTTACCTGTGTCCACAATGGAGGCAACACCAGCAAATGTGTGTAAACCCATTTGGCAGACAGAATGCAGCCACCTGGGCAGCTCACAGGCTGCCTGGCCTGCTCACGGCTCAAGCTGCGAGTCAGAGGAGCATGTCCAGGAGGAGCCGCCGCCACGGACGTTCTTCTCAGCAGCGCCCTCTTGTGCCCTCATTGCCCAGGTTCTGTGTGCAGGGGTCACAGCCGACAGGCGCTGGGAGGCCCAGTAAATAAATGATTTAAGAGAGATTAAGAGAGATTTCATCGTAAAGCCTGTGGTCCTCTTGGCGTATCTGCTCTCTTTTTTTTAAAAATTTATTTTATTGATTTTTTACAGAGAGGAAGGGAGAGGGATACAGAGTTAGAAACATCGATGAGAGAGAAACACTGATTAGCTGCCTCCTGCACACCCCCCACCGGGGATGTGCCTGCAACCAAGGTACATGCCCTTGACCAGAATCGAACCGGGGACCCTTCAGTCCACAGGCCGACGCTCTGTCCACTGAGCCAAACCGGTTAAAGCTGTTTTTCCACTCTTGACAGAGATACGGATATCATGAATGTCACTGTCTTTAACAAGAGCAAAACACCAGTGTGAGGAGATAATGCCTGATGACTGACGGGGGGCAGCAGGGAGCACAGGGCCTGCAGCGCAGCCCGGCCAGGCCCTGCTCCGTGGGAATGTGGCCCAGGCTGCCAGGTCCTCCGACTTTTTCAAGAAGAGCCAGAAATCCGGGTTGTTCTATGCTTGTTATTTTTTACATTCAAAATAATGAAGTGAAAGTCACATGACAAAGTCAGCCGCCTCACAGTGGACTTATACAGTCACAGCGCATGCAGCGCCGCCGCCTCCTGTTCCAAACGCTCCCATCTCCCCAGAGGGAAGCGCCAACCACCAGGCAGCCACCCCACTTCCCCGCCCGCGGCTCCTGGCAGCCACCATGCGTCCGGCCTCCCTGGGCTTGCTCGGCCCGGACATCTCACTTAAACGGAGCCCCATTCCTCTCGTGGCTGCTGTCACTCAGGCAGTGTCTTCCAGGCCCACCCATGTTGCAGCCGGTGCAGGGCACCACTCCTGGTCCCGGTGAGAATGTTCCATTTCCTGGTCTGCTCGCACTCACCAGTCGGTGGCCATCTGGGTGGCTCCCATGGGGCAGTGTGAGCTGCCACAGGGGCTGGTGTACAGGTGTCCGCGCCCCGTTTTCCAGGGTTTGAGGTGGATACCGAGAGGGCAACGCGGGGTCCTAGGCAATTCTGCTTGTTTTTGCGAGGAGCCACCACACCGTTTTCCACAGCGGCTGCACCTTTCACACTCCACCCGCAGCGCACAAGGGTCTCGAGTCTTAGCATCCTGGCCAACATTGATTATAGTCCTTTCAAAATTATCATTATTATGTAGCCCTAATAGAGGGTGTCAAGTTTCTTCACAGTTTTAAGGTTAGGCAACCCTTCACTTGTCTAAGCGCCGCGGGCCAGTGCTGTCCGTGGGACACGGCAGGTTTGGGAGCTCTGCCCGCGCATGGGCCAGGCCACGCGTCAGGTTTAATGTAAGGCAGGTGCTGGTCGCTGCCTGCCTCTGGCCTGGGCTGCTGCGGGCGGGCGGCCAGGTGGCCTCCAGCTGGCTTCCTGCTCCTAACACCCCCAGATCTGTGCCAGCCCCGACATCGAGGAGCTGCTGGCGGAAATGCAGAAGGCCCAGAGCCTCCTGAGCCACGTCCACGCCCTGCACCAGAGCGCCGCTTGCCCGGAGCTCAGCGGCCTGATGAAGGAGGTAGGTGGGCGGGAAAACTCTGAGACCTTCTCGGGAGGCTGCCAGCTGGCCTCGCTCCACTCTCCTTCCTCACCCCTCCCCCCCGCCCCCCTCCTGGAAGTGAGAAGAGGCAAAGCCTCTCGCTCTGAGCTGGGTGGGCCCCGGGCCTCCCACTGTGCCCGAGGGGCCCGGTGGGTCTTCTGAGAAATTGGGCATTTCCATCGCTCCTTCCCCCAGCGTGGTGCGTGACGAACATCGCCCCGCACAGAGTAGGCTGTCTGAGATGCCTCCCCAGCCCTCCCTCAGGGCCAGCGTGCTGCGCAGCGACAGTTAATTTATCGAGGGCAGAACAGCACGTTCACCATAAAGCGCTGGGTGCTGCTTAGACGCTGCTCTGTGGACAGAGCGCTGGGAGGCGGCGTCTTGGCCGGGGCAGGAGAGCAGCCGTCCACCACGGCATCCAGTCACGACCACAGCGCTCATCTGCTGAGCGCGAGGGAAGCGGGCGGGTGCTGGATTCTCTGAGGGACTTGTCTGCTCCTTCAGCGGCAGCGGATTGTCAGGCGTGTTACCAGCCCATCTTACAGATGAGCAAACTGAAGCCAGCAGGTTAACCAACGGCTCTGACTGACCCGGGTCTGCAGGGCGGCCACACCCTTGTTAGAGTTTCCCAAAGTGAAATGTATGTACTATGTGGGGTTCACAGATGATTGTAAGGCGATACATAGATTAATATTTTTAATGTTATATGTTTAAATCTACTCATCCATAGATCTTTCTAAAATTATTTAAGTACCAAAAAGGAGTCTGTTTTTGAAAGCAAATTAAATTGAATATTAAAACACTTTAATGCCATATGTTTAAATTAAAAATAAACTGGGTAGATAATAGCGCAGTGGTATTCAGATATAGCAAAATTCATGAGAGCGGTGCTCAGGTGTACAGTCTGGGAGTTGCTGTTCTACGTTTCGCTTCTACCTGAGCTGTGTGAGTTAGTCTCTCAGAACCTCAGCCGTTCAGCTTATAAACGTGGGCAGAGAGGCTAGGCCGGCCCCGAGCTTCCACGTGGCTGGTGCAGAGCTGCTCTCGGTTCCCTGAAGCCTGGGGTTGGGGACACGAAGGGGCCACTCAGCAGGAGGCCAAGGTGAGGACCCTAATGGATAAGGATGGAGAAGCAGCAGGAAGATGAGCACACGAAAGAGGAAGTGAATTGTTGGGCACATCTTTCTCCTCCCCTGGAATTCCCAGAAATCTCCAGGAAGGGGGTGAGGGTGTGGACGGTGAGGGGGGAGGCAAACTGTCTTTAACAAGATGCCCCTGGGGGCGCTGTGGGTGGGAGACTGAATACTCAGCAGCTCTAAAGTGTGGCTATGTGATGAGGAGTTTTCATTTTAATTTAGATTTCCACAGAGATTGCCAAAGGGCCACTCAGAGATCTCCTGCCTAAACCCCCAAAGCACGAAGCTCCCCTCACAATTGAGTTCCCAAACTTGGACAAGACTTCTGCAGAATGGCTCAAGGTCAATGGCCTAAGAGGTAAGTCCCCGAGGAGGGTGGGCCGAGAGCGAAGGTCCCTGACTTGGGCACAGGCCCTCTGGGTCTTCACGCGGTCCTTACAGCCAAGAAGCTGAGCCTTTACCAGGTCCTGGCGCCCAACGCGTTCGCTCCCATTGAGGAATTTGTGCCTATTCTCCAGAAAACGGTGTCGTCAACTATCCATGAGGTGACTCAGACTCCGGTCTCTCCATCCTCTGCGGGGAGCTCCTCTGTGGGGAGCTCCTCTGTGGCATCTCCCTTCATAAATGTTCAGAAACAAGAGTCAAGGCAGAGCCCGAGGAGCAGGGCCTGTGGGCCCTGAGCGGTCCCGGCTCTCCTCCCACCTGAAAAGGAAACGTGGGAGGTGGGGCAAAGGGAGGGAATTGGGAACCACCGTCCCTCCGCTGTGGAGGGGTTCCTCCTCCCCACTCAGAACACACTCGCTCTGTGTGTCCCCACTGTACCTGGCACAGACTCCTGCCATAGCTCCTAATGTGTCATCTGTGTATTTGTTACATGTCCAGATCTCACCAGGTTATGAACCCTTTAAAAGAAAAAACTCTGTATCTCTAATAGGTAGTACAAGTCAGCAGTTAATGAATGTTTACTGGATGACTGAGTGGATGGAGCAAGGAAAGGAAGGATGAACGGGTAGATGGATGAAACTGTTGATGAATGCATGGACACATAGGCGGATGGATGGATGGGTGGATGGATGGAAGGACATGTGAACAGATAGAAGGAGAAATGGAAGGATGAATGACATGATAGAATAAAAAAGATAAAAGGATGAAAGTAAGGATGGAAAGATGGAAAATGGAAGGACTAATGAATGGAAAGATGGAGAATAAAAGAAAAGAGAGATGGATAATTCACTCAGTGGATGGATGAATGACTAGGCAGATGGAAGGATACTTTGAGACACGGATATGACAATTTGGTGGAGGATGAAAGAAGAAGATGAACAAAGTTGACTTCCAAAGTGTTCATGAAGGCCTATCTAGGTTCCCAAACCTAAGGCCCATGGCCAGGATGTTTTTAAGGTCTCTTACTCTATTATTAGCAAAACTTCCAACCATGTTTTATAATAAAGACTCCCGTGTTCAGGAGAGCCTCCAGGGTGGCAGCCTGCCTTGCTGTCCTGAGGGCCTCTGCTGCCAGCGCCAGCCCGTGACCTGGTGGGCATGGGGGTGGGCACATTCTACCCCCAGAATTTTAAACTTAAAATCCTTCCTCACGGTGTGATTCCATTCGCCTGCGCCCCTCCCGGCCACACCGAGTGCAGAAGGCAATGGTACAGCTTCAGTGGCACGACGGGACGGTGAGGAATGTCCACGTGGACCTGCCCTTCCTCTATGAGTACCAGGTCGGCCCTGGGCCCGTCAGTCAGAGCATGGCGTGCATGTGGGTGGGGGGGGGGGAGCAGGGAGGGGAGTGAGGCACCAAGTGATGTGGAGACACCAGGCCAGTGACCGAATTCTCTCCTGTAACCGAGACTGTGCTCCACCCACAGGGCACTTTGGGAGCTTTTCCCACCCCTTCCATCCCAGGCAGAGACCTGGATGCTCAGACAAAAGCTTCTAATAAAAAATAAAAAAGTAAAGCTTCTAATCCTTTGACAAATCTACCTCCTCCCAATATGAGGCAATGAGAGACTTCTCCTCACGGTCTCATGGCAGCTTGTCCATGATTAGTGGGATGTTTATACCCATGGCCGTGGCACACTGTTCCCGGAAGCCGGCTGGGACACCCCTCCTCTCAGACCCTTTAATCGGCCACGCTCTGTGCAGTCGCTCATCCCGTGTGGCCTGTGGGTTTGCAGAAACAGCTCAGCAGAGCCATGCGGACGTATGAGAGGCGGATTGAGTGGCTCTCACTGGCCAGCAGGAGGATCTGGGGCACCGTCTGCGAAAAAAGGTACTTTCCCCTGAGTCGTGTTCCTGTCCGTCATGGGTTTGGTGTGTGACGGAGCACATTCCCAGCTCATGGATTCCCTGTTGGAAGCCGACGGCAAACCACTCAGCAGAACCCCTGGGGGAAGTCGCCACCAACTTCAGCAATGTCCTCACTGGGTAACTCAGGTTCTTTCCATTAAGAGGCAACAGAAACGAGTGCAGATGGGCTGAAACAAACTAGTGGAGTCTGGTGAAGGTGACGCAAAACTCCAAAGCAGATTTGCTGGCTGCCTTCATGGCTCGATCCAGAGACCCGTGTATGTCAGAGTCTCTCTCCATCTCTCATCTCTCCTCCGATGGCTTTGTCTTCAGGCGGCAGGCAGCTTTCCCCTCCGGTTTTAGCTTCCCAGAACTTGGGGCAGGGGCCGTCCATGAGCTCTGCACCCTGGCCAGGGGGGCGTGATGTCCTGCTTCCCACATGCCCACTCTCAAAGCTTGGGGCAGGGTCAGCTCTACCCAAAGCAAATGGAATGATAGAGGCAGAGGGCTGTCAAGGAACACCAGGATGCTGTGGCCACAAGAGGTAATGAACGCTGAGTAGGGAGAAACAGTGGGTACCCATTATAGCCATATTTGATATGTCACCTTTACAAAATAACACACTTTGTAATAATACTATACATCTCTTCTATCCTTTAATTCTTAACCCTATGAGGGGTCGTCCTGTAAACGCTGTAGTTTATAGTAAGCATGCCAAGGATCAGAGGGGTTCTGTGACTTGCCTAAGGTCACACAGGAAGTGGGCTTGAACCAAGGTCGTCTGATTCTAAATCGAGTGGGTTTTCTTTTGTTGTCTACAGGTGTCTCAAAATGAGAACGGAGGGAGGAGATGGGAATGTAAGATTTGAAACAGTGAAAGGAAAAAACTGAATGGGGCTAAAGATCTTAAAACAGAGAAAGGAAACACAAAAGACACAAACATTTCCCCAGAGGCCCAGATCTCGTAATCCCACATCCTACTTGCTGACTGTGCTTGTTTTTCCTTCAAAGACCCCGACCTATAATCATATTGAATGCTAGTGCTTTAAACAAGGAGGGATATGAAACTCATTGCGTGCAGCCTCCGGCCCTCGGCCATCTCCACCAGGAGACTTTTCCGCGGTAGGACCTCCTGAGAGAGAGGTTCCAGCACCTAAATCTGCTGGAAACCCACCTCTGTTGACCTCAACCCGGAGAAAACTTGGCCAGCTGTGCATCTGGCGTGTGAAGTTCCCCGGAAAACACTTTAAAGAGTAAAACGGAACAAAAAGAACACTATCCGAGAGATTCGGTTCTCCTGGAGCTTGTGTTTCTGTGCAGGCTGGTTGTACTGCTCGACCTCTCCGCGGCCAGTTCCACGTACATTATTCATATCCAGCACTCCCTGCGGCTCCTGCTGGAGGAGCAGCTGTCCAACAAGGATGCCTTCAACGTCATCGCGTAAGCTCCCGTCCTGGGGGAGGCCGTGTGCTTGGCCTGGCCGCTGGGCTGGGGCTCCTGGCAGGGAGCGGCTCGCAGGGAGCGGCTCCGCAGATGTTCTGAGCATCCTGCATCCTGGGACGGCCGTCTGTTTATCTGCCTCGAATGATCGTGTTTGGGGCATTGAATAATTAAATAGTTGCAGAACAGTCCCACTGGGGAGCAGGTAATGAGCAGCCCCAAAACACACTGCTCGATCAGCCAGGAAAAAGCAACTCCGCCCATTGCCCCACTGGGCTTCAAACTGAGAAGCAGGAGAGAGAAAAAGGAGGGCCCCAGGCATGCCCTAACTTGGGTTTGGCAAGGCACAATAGTTCATTTAGGGTTTCAATTCTAAATGTTAACTTTGTGTGTAGCTATATAGAATTAAATTATATAGGTATAAATATGTAAAACTATGTATATTTAAATTATGTAAAATATAATACACATTTAAATTATATGTTTAAAGATAAATAATTTAATATATACATTTGAAATATAAATAGAATTAAGTATTATATATTTATATATTTCAATTATACATGGCTATATATAATTTAAATATACACATAGTTTTATACATATTTTTAATTGCGTACCATTTTAACTAATTGGAGGAGAGAGAGCAAAGGGGCCACTGAGCTATACATTTACACCTTCACATCTAACAGGGACTGTTCTGAGCCTATTAAGTCAGTAGTTAATATTACATATTATTCTGTATCAGAGCCTAATCTTTTCATAATAAATTCCAAGAAAAAATGCTTAGAGAGACATTTTAGGCAATGTTTTCATTCATTTATCCATCCAACCGTTCGTTCCGCCAGCTTTTACTAAAAGTCCAGGCGCAGAAGTTCAAACACAAAACCTCCCTCGGGCCGCGTGGCCTCGAGGGAGACAGGCTGAGCAAGGCTCTGAAGAGACTGGCTGTGCGGCTGGAGTCCAGGTGGGGGTCAGTGTGCACCACAGAGAAGGCGCCTTTCCTTTGATGAAGGGAGGAGTCCTCTTCTTTTTTTTTTTTTAATATATTTTATTGATTTTTTTACAGAGAGGAAGGGAGAGGGATAGAGAGTTAGAAACATCGATGAGAGAAAAACATCGATCAGCTGCCTCCTGCACACCCGCTACTGGGGATGTGCCCGCAACCAAGGAACATGCCCTTGACCGGAATCGAACCTGGGACCTTTCAGTCCGAAGGCCGACGCTCTACCCGCTGAGCCAAACCGGCCAGGGCAGGAGTCCTCTTCTCAAGGATTTAAATTCTGCCTCACAGAAAAGGTGAAATGATACGTATGAGAAACAGACAGACTGTGGTGCAGATAGCGGGGACATGTGTTGTGAGCGTGAGTCAGTGCCAGGGAAGTTTAAAAAGGGAGAAAGGACTCCCTTCCCGGGGACGGGGGCCGTACACACACACACACACACACACACACACACACACACACATCTCCACGACACGGAGGGAGTGCGGCCTGGGCGCTCCTGGCTCTGCCCTCACCGTGACCGTCCGAGCAGGTCATGACAGCCAGGTCTCGGCCGGCCCAGGCTGGTGACACCCCAACATTTTGGGGGTGGAATCAGGATTTTGGTCTCCTTAGGGCCTGGGAGCCCAAAGAGCTGGGACCCAGAGTGGACCAGTCTCCTGCCTGAGAACGAGCCCTTTCCTTCCCTCAGGTTTGGGAGCACCGTCGAAAGCTGGAGGCCCGAGATGGTGTCCATGAGCCACGACAACTTACAAAGCGCCTGGCAGTAGGTGGCGGGCAGAGGCTCACCTGCCAGGCCTCGGGCAGCCTGGGTGGCTGCTCTCTCCATCCCCGCTCCACTGAGGGGCAGTCCCTGCCTCTGTTCTGGCCTCACCCCGGCCTCGCTCAGCAGGGCTCTCCTGCCTCCCAGGTGGGCCCTGACCCTGCAGTGTCGCGGCAGCAGGAATGTCCTCAGCGCCCTGCGCAAGGCGGTGGAAGTGGACTTCAAGGACAAAGACAGACAACAGTCGCAGGGCATCTACCTCTTCACAGGGGGCATCCCCGACCAGGACATGGTAGGTGCTCCAGTCCCGGGCACCCCCATCCTCATGACCCCACAGCGTCCCCGGGTGGACGCTGGCCGCTCCTCTCAGCGCAGCTTTCCAACCTGGACTTCGTGTGCAGGAGACTCGCCTGGGGTGGTGTGGGGATGCAGAACCTGGCCCCGGAGGCCTGGCTGGGGGCCTGAGAGTCTGCATTTCTAATGAGCTCCCAGGCTGTCCCAGGCTCTCAGGCCCAGCTCCCGCCATACCCTCGCCAGATAGAGAAGCTGTGACCCAGCTCAGTCGTCTTCACCCTCGGCACCCAGTGCTCACCAGGCACTCAGTAGGCCCTCGAGGAAGATGACCAGGCAGAACTGATCTGGGGCCAGCAGGTTTAAGGACTCCCACCCTCTCCCCCCAGCCCACGCTCAGCGCCTACATGGCTGAGGCCTGCGGGGGCTGCGACCTCCAGCTGAACGTGTGTCTTTTCTACGTGGGGGAGCCGCCGATGGACACCACCCCACCTGCCTGCTACGCCAGCCGCACCGACACGGCCGCTGCCTACCGCGAGGTCACCCGGGCTGCTGGTGGCCGTTTCCACTGGTTTGGAGACACAGGTGCGTGAGTGTTGGCTGGTTCCTCCATCTGTTTCCGGGAACCTCAGTACCAGCACCGCTCCCTGTGCCAGAGATGTACTCCAGAAAGGCAACGTGTGAAAACCCCATTCAAAAACGGGAAGCTGCTGCTCATAGCACGCGTTCGCTGCAAACGGAAGGTGGGATGGCGGCACGACAGTGCGAATGTACTTAACGCTGCTGACCGTACACTCAAACATTGTTAGAATGGAACATTTGTGTAACATGTTTTACCGTAATTTTTTAAGTCAAAAAGAAAAGTAAAACTATGTTCAAATACGTTAGAATGTTAGAGCTGGAAGGGGCACTGGAGGTCCCTTAGTTTAGTATTTCCCACAGGGGAGTGTTCACAACAGGTGGGTGAAAGGCAGTTGCTCACGAACTCATTGTGATAGCTGGAGGGGGTCAGACGACCCCACCCCAAAACATGCCTCAAGGCATCAGAATTGTGAGCTGACGCCAAAAAAGCTCTCTCCCTTCCCCCACACAGTCTACAAGTAGGACACAGGCCAACTTCACACTCTGTCTCCTTAGTCACGGTGCTCTAGTTCTTCTCAAACTAGTCAGCAATACTTACTACAGACATTAGCCACTTAAGTAATCCCAGGGTGGGTGATTTTACTCACTGGAGTATACCAGCACCCTTGCTCCTATCTGCTCTTCCTGTGGGTGCAAGCTCTTGCCTGGGTGCTGGGTCCCATGGCCATCCCCACTGGTGGTAATCTCGCTGTAACTGCCACTGGACTGTCGGGGTGGGGACTGGTCAGCTCAGCCCATAAGACCCCACCCTGCCGCTCCAGCTCAGGTCACCTCCATGGGCCCCTGCTGCACAGGCACAGATCTGGCCGGGACCGGTACTCCTCCCCCATAAATTCTTTGTTTCCAGGCATTTATGAAAGTGACGACATCAATGCCATCGTGTCTGAGATGGAAAAGGCTCTCAACTACTCGCAAAAGGTATGCTTTGGGGTGGGGAAGTGAAGTGCCACGAACCAGGTGCTTAAAACAGCAGGCATGCATTCTTTCAGTTTCAGCGGCTGGAAGTCTGACATCAAGGTGTCAGGAGGACCATTGAAAGGAATTGTAGAGATAAAATAGGCAGGTTTAAGGAGTCCTGAGAATAAAGAGGGTCCATGGTGGAGGAATGCATAGGTGAGGGCTTGGAGCCTCCAAAAGGCATCCATTCACAGCGGATAAAAGTCACAAAGTGGGGAAGAGGGAAACACTTTCGCAGAAGATAGAGAAATGTGGACAGATGGCAGAAAGAGGGGAACATTTTCACAGGAGATAGAGGAATGTTACAAGGTAAGGGGAGATGGGGAGGGGGGCACCACGCGGGTTTTGGACTTTGAGTTTGATATTCTGCAAAAGGGTGGCCAATCAAAAAAGCACGGGGTCATAAAATGGGGAAGGGGTCCAATTAGAAGGGAGCATGAAGAGACAAAGAACTACAGTATTTATAAACATCAGCAAGAGGGGCTTTGGGGGTTACCCCCTTGGGACCCCCTCCCTACGTGAGAGTCTGAATTTGCTTCCAATAAATTCCACCCTTTTACTAACAAGTACCTTTAGTCTGTGAAATGTATTCTTCAAACTTAGTGAGATAAGAACCCGCAGGGGGAGATCCACCCCACACACCGCGTGCCTCCCGTGTTCCCTCTGGAGACTGGGTAGGGTCCGTCAGTGCAGCTGGTGTTAAAGAAAACATATTGCACTGGATGCTGGTTACGATGTCAAGGAAGACTTTATGCGAGACTCTTGCAATAAGGGGGTGCGATCGGACTCAGCTCCGAAGACAGCTGGAGTTTATGGCCAATGGCAGGGTGACGGGTCACGAATGGGAAATTACTAAGGGAAACGTGTTTAGCTTTCGAGAATAGGGGGATTCTTGCTAAATGGACTCAGCAGGATTCCTGCTGAAGGCTGGTCAAGGACTGAGACATCAGGGTGGGGGGTGAGGGACTTGATCAGTGGTGGGGGATTCTAACTAAACTGACTTGGCAAGATTCTTTACTAAAACTGGGTTTAGCAGGACCAAGTTGAAGCCTCGTTGAGAAAAGGGCTCAGAGGGGCTGGACTAAAGTTTGGGCAAGGAGGGCGTCCTGGTGGCTGGCAGTCCTTGGCTCACGCAGCACGCGCTCTCTGTCTCCGTCTTCACATGCTGTCCTCCCTCTTTGTGTCTGTCCCTTCTCCTCTTGGAGTGGCACCAGTCATATCAGAGTGAGGCCACCCTGCCCCAGTATGACTCATTAACTCACACCTTAATGAATCTACAAAGACCCTATTCCCGGGTAAGGTCACAGTCACAGGTACCCAGGGTTCAGACTTCAGCCTATCTTTTGGGTGACATGAACTCAGCCCACCACAGCTTCCCCCTCATGTCCTGATCCACTGACCCCCAAGGCTTCAGATGAAACATGAGGGTTTCCTATAGGCATCGATTTTAGGTCTGTGAGCTGTACTTTCTGGCCTTCTTTGCGTTCCTTGAACACATCGAGCTAATTCCTAAACTCGGGGCCTTTGCACCTGCTATGTGCTCTGTCTGTCATTCCCTCCCAGATCGTCCATGGCTTGTCCTTGTTAATCAAGACTCACTAAAATGTAACTTCCTCAGAGAAGGGAGTTGAGCCGTTCGAGGTGAGATTAGAGAGGTAGAAAGGGGCCAGATCTTGTCAGAAGCAATGAGAATGGAAATAAGGGAAGACCCATGAGAAGAGTTGGGGAAGGATTGACCAGAGGTGTGGCTGATTGTACGGGGTGAAGGAGAGAAAGAAATCCCAGAGTAACTCCCAGGTTCCCCACTGGGGGTCATGGGTGACAGTGGTGCCCATTGACCAGGAGACAGAGAACAGGCCCTCCGGAGGGAGTGTGGTAGGTGCGGGGAGGGTGGGCCTGGGACAAAGGTGAGTTCAGGGAGCCTGCTGGGGCCTGTGGATGACAGGTGGAGGTATGGCTCAGACCGGTGGGGAAGATCAGGGCCGGGGCAGGGCAGCCCTGCGGAGGGACAGAGAGAGCTCAGGTGGCCATAGTCAGGCGGTGGAGGGGACTCAGACTGACTCACACTTTACTCACTGCCATTCAGAGCAGCACCCGCTGAGCCACCCTCACGTCCCCTTCCTCCCTGTCCAGTGCGTGGGCTCCCCGGGTGAGCCTCCCGGAAGTGGCCTCTCTTTGTTTGTTTGTTTTAAATCCTTCTCCTCTGGCCCCTCGTCTGATAAACTCATTCACAGGACATGCATGGGTGATGCTGGTTTGATGCACACTCCCAGGGTGTTATTTACATTCCGGTGGCGTTTCCTGAGCTTTGGTTGAGAAGAATTACTGGAGAACCTTTCAGGCAGTTGTGGGTGACGGAATCAACTATGACACATTATTCTGCCAGCTGGGGAGTTAGCCCCCGGCATCTTGCGGGCCGACCGGCATTTGTGGATGCTGGGCCCACATATGGAAAGAGCAGTGGCTTCGGAGCCACACCCACCTGGGTGTGAATGGAAGGCCCTCTATATACCAGCAGTGTGGCCTTGGGCTTTAGTTTCCTCATCTGTAAAATGGGGATAAGATAGCACTTGCCTGACCTTTGAGACACCCAGATTGTAACTGGCCCTGTGCCCGGTGCATCCCACACCCTCCGTACATGGTACTTGTTATTCATGGATTTGGTCCACGGTGTCTGTGCCCCTGTTCTAGGGACAGAAAGAGGAATCCAAGGATCCTAGCAGATGCAGTCTCACGCGCCCACGTGTGTGTGTGTGTGTGTGTGTGTGTGTGTGTGTGTGTGTGTGCGCGTCCTGCTGGGGCTCACGGCACTGGGTGCTGCTAACCGCCCCATCCTGTCTCAGTGTGCCCTCCTAGTGTCCTCCCTGAAGAACCAGTCCAGAAAAGACCTGGAGAGGGCAGCCCTCTTGAAAGAAAAGCCAAAGATGCTCAAGCAAAGAAGCCAGCCTAAGAGACTCTATCCTTCCGAGCCCACAGCCCCCTCGGCGGCCAGAATGGTTTGACTCCCCCCCTAATAACACACAGGATGTTATTTCTGCGTGTCTCCGGGTCTTTCCTAGATCTCGCAGTGCCCTGGGCCAGGGGCTGGGGCAGGGTCCTCAGGAGCGTGTCCTGTGGGTGCCTCCAGTCCTGGCCTCTGGGGGACCTGCTTCTCAGCTCGGCACCTCTGGCCACCTCCCCACCCCCACCTGTGGCTCTGCCTGGCTCTCCCAGGCTTGACCCCGATCTGGGTCCTAAGGGCCCCCTGAGATTGGAACCCACCTGACTGAAAGGCAGGAGGGCTCATCCCAGAGGGACTCAGGGGCACGGAACGAGGCTGTCGGGTATCCAACGGGCTCTTGCTGCAGCTGCCCGGGGCCTGGCAGGAGCCCGAGGGTGGCCTGGCTGCTTATCTGCAGTCGCAGCCTGTCAGCTCTGTCCTGCATGAAACACCCGCCTCGGCACCAGAGGGGCCTGGAGAGGTCTGGCTGGGGAGACCCAGACTCAGTGCTCAGGAGCGGAGGGGCCGAGGACTCCAGCTCCCGGCCTCGGGCCGAACTTCTTCAGCATCGCTGCCTCACTCCGTCTCAGGCCGGTTCTGCGAGAGGCTGTCACCAGGTTTCAGGAACCTCCCAAGTTCTGAGGCGAAGCCCTGTCATTCCAGGATCTGCCTCTCGGGCCTTCAGCACTGCTGAGCTGGCTCCCTGCGGGGGCCTCTAACGGGGGCCTCTAACGGCGGCCTCCCGAGCCCAGGGCCGGCCTGGAGTCAGCTCATCCCCAGGTCCCAGCTGGTCCAGGGCCCTGCTGACCTCACGGTCACCACGTTCTGGTTGTGTCCAGTAATGAAGGGCCCCTCCCTTAGAACAGGTGCCCGGAAGGGCACAGCTACCGAGTGGCCGCCTATGGGGCTGGAGGCCCAGAAGCGCCGGCCCAGGAGGAAGAGGAGTAGGTGACGCCAAGAAAGTTCTGGCAAGTCCACACGCATGTACTGTTTCACCTCAAAAGCCAGAGTCCCCTCTGAATCTGCAGCAGGAGATGAGGCCAAACTGTCTGAGAACCTGGTCCCTTAGGCCCCGCCCTGCGAAGATTCCTAACGGGCAGATGGAGGCTGGGGTGACGGGTGCACCTGCCACAGAAAATAGGCGGCTGACGGGAAAGACCACCTGTTTTCTAGAGCATCAGAGTTGGCCCTGCCAGAGAGAGCAGCCCCCCCGCGAAAGCTGTGACGTGGCGTCCGCTCAGTGGCAAGGCGGGCATCCCACCAGGTGAGGCCCGGGTCGGCTGGGGCACAGGCTGTGGTGAGGCGTGTGAGTACCGATAGGCACCACGGTGATCAGCGATCGGGAGTCTTGACCCTGCGCCGGCCCTTCTGCTAGGACGCCCACTTGAGCTTGTAGCAGTGCAGGTAGCCGGTCAGCTCCCCATTTTACCGGTGAAGAAAGTCAGGGTGGAGAAGCATGGCTGGTGCCCGCTGGTGGCGACAGGCACGGGTGTTTTTATGAAAGGACTCAGCTCCTAAGAGCAGGTGCCTCACATCCAACATCAAAGGCGTGGCCCAGTGGCTCCGAGCAGGGTCCTGGGGCCCGCGGACCAGAGTGGAGGCTGCTCTCCTTCCTGGCGCTGGGAGCTGGGGGCAGAGAGCACTCACTCCAGCCTCAGGCCTTCTGTCCTCCAGCTGCAGCCCCGTCAGCCAAGGAGGAGCCTGGAGCCGGGAGGAGGAAGACCCACACGAGGGAAGCAGAGGCCGGAAGTAGCGAGGGTGAGTCGGAGGATGCGGAGCCGGAGCTGGGAAAGCCCTGGCCTGTGGGAACTGAGCGGTCACCGCAGGGCAGCAGAGCCCTGGACCAGGCCTCTCCTCACACTAGGTCCCCAGGCCAGGGGGACAGACATGCAGTCTTGACATGGCAAGAGAGTGAGGAGGGTCAATACTGGAGGTCCCCCGAGGCCCCGGGTCCCAGGTCCCAAGGTCCGGGTGCTGCACGAGGGACAGTGCCTCCGCCCTGGGCTCGGGGAGGGTGTGGAGATGGGGCCCCAGCCAGCCTGACTGCTGCCAATGGGCACAGATTCCAGGAACCAATCCCTGGGGTGCGGAGAAGAGAGTCCAGCAGGTTTGCAGGGACCTTACAGCCTCCCTTTCTACCTCTCAGCAAACTGCACCTAAGGACTTGATTGGCAGAGAAACTGACATGAAAAGAGAGCGATGGGGAAGGGGAGGGAAGAGAGGTGCACAAGGTAACCTCACTGTTCCTCGCAGACTCGGTGTACAGAAAGCACCCTCAGGGAAGGGGCGCAAGGAGGACTGGCTCTTCTCTGGAGTTGCCCAGAAAGGACGCAATCTGCTCAAGCCACGAGGTTAGTAAGTTGTCTGCACCAGCGCATGTCCGATAGGCAATACTTCCTTCTAGCAGCCGTGCCCAGAGGATGGGCATTCCGGGAAGTGAGGACAGCCCTGCTTAGAGTGACTGCTAAGGGTGACATAGACCTGGTTCGAGACCCGAGTGCGCCACCTCCTAGCTGGGAGACCTCGGACAAGTCCTTTAACCACATTTCATCTCAAGGTCCTCATTTGCAAAATGAAGACAATTGTATCTATCAAACAGGATCCATGACTAATTGGAGTATATTTTGTGTAAAGTTCTTAGTGGTACCAGATCCTTTGGGTTGCAAACAACAGAAATCCTCCTCCTCGTTTGTCCAGAAGGGGGAACACCTTTCTTCCTCTGCCGTTCCGGGAGTCAGCTTGGTCCTCACGGGCCCGTCCTGGAGGCTGCGCTGGCTGCTGGAGCCTGCCTGTCCTTGTAGCCCTGGTTGTAACGAGGACACTGGAATTATCTCAGTTGGATTCTAGTATGGACTTTAGACCAATCAGGGTTGCTACCCAAATCTTATGGGGAAGGTTGAAAAGATGTGGGGACAGCAATGTCCACCAGCGTAATGTTAACGTAAAAACAGTCAACGCTGTGAAGAATTTGTGTGAGTTTATTTCAGCCAAACTGACGACAATTGCCAGGAAGCAAAATCTCAACCGATTGGGATAATGCTCCAGAGAATGGCGGTTTTTCATCTATTTTTATACATTACAATCAAAGGAGAAGATGTGAGTGGGTGACATGAAAGCCATTGGTGATAGATTAGGGAGGTGGGAGGAAGCAAAGGCGGGGGGACCTCTGGGGCTGGATAAAAAGTAGAATGAGAGGCACATGCTTCTTTTACTCAGGTGGTGCAGGATCCCTAACAGTCAGCAATTAACCTGATAACAATAGCAGTGAAGGAATTTATGGTCTCTGTCCTGGCACCAAGGGCATTTGGTTGTGCCCTGAGGTGGTCCAGAAAAAAGGTTACAAGTTACCCTGACATTTCACAGGGATGTTATCGTAGATGCAAAAGGACCATAGGCTCAGTTAAGGTAAAGAGTGACCTTGTCAGGGAAGATACC